TCTCTTTTTTTTTTTAACAAATCATAGCATTTATATCACAAATTACAAATTTCAAAAACTCTTAAAATATACATTGTCCTATTAAAATCATAAATTAATAATTTGACATATAAATCTTGTACAATATTTATATAAACATACGTAAAACATTGCATTGTTTATTTTTCTCTTAAAATGAAATTTATTACTTTCTTTTTCTTTGCATTTCAATATTTATGTCATTTTATTGGAAATATAGATAAAACTTATAGTTTATGATCTAGGATATGTAATTGCAATCTTAAAAATTATTAAATAATTTATTAGAAAGAGACAAATCCCAACCTATAAAATTTACTTAGTATATAGTATCGTAAAATTAAATTTTTATTTTAAAAATTGAAAAAGTATTTTATAAATATAAAATTTTAAAAGAAGAAAATTTAATTAAATTTAAAATTTTATAAATCAAATAAATTATCATAATCCAACTTTACTAATTTATAAAGTTTTTACTGTATTTATTACAGAAAGTACATAGTTCTAGTGCATCATGAAAATCTTCATTGCATATTTAAGTGGACAGTACACATCATTACATCGCCCTTTACCCTGATGCTATTTCTTTGCACAGTGAATCATGAACCGACCTAAACACTAAGATAAAATGAACTCTTATCATGTGTGCTATAGTTTGCCGAGCAGTGAGCATGCACCGACCATGACGATATAAGAGTATGGTTCATTTTCTTTGTTTGTCAACTTGTTCTTATATCTACATACATCATAAAAATTAAACAAAAAAATTGGAAAGAAAAAGAAAAAAAAACATTTGGACAAGAACTTTCCATTGACATTGCTGTCTAGAATTCGGTGGAGAAAAGAAAGTGTCTTTAGTGGTACATATGAAATAATATGCATTTCAATTTCTATGTGTATAGAAAATTTCATGACATGTGTCTCATTTTTGAAACCTCAGTTCAAGCTTTTTGGTTTATTATTTAAAAGAGAAATAATTTGTTAAAAATAACCACTAATCATATTGATCCAGAATTTAAGATAAAACGACACATCATAGATTCACAATAATATGCAGAGAAAAATTCATTATTAAAGTAAAGCCGTGCCAACAACTAATTGATCACTGGAAGAATCATGATGAGAAATTTAGATATCCTTTTTAATAAATTAAAGTTTTTTTTAGAATGAATGTTTATTAAACGAAATGAACGAAATTTTTTGCTATGATGTGAGTAATTTGATTCGCTTCGATAAAAATAAAACAATGATATGTAAAACGCTGTGAAAGTAGCGTTGCTAAATGACAAGACGAATATAGGGTACTTTGAGACTCGATGATCTAGTAATATGCAGCAATAGTACTAGAAAATGGAGATCAACACAAGGACAATCAGTGATTAAGAAGAATGGTGACATATATTATGATATTTTTGAAAATTCCAACAGACTGTAAAGGTATGTTTAATTTGGAATTTTTAGTGATTTGTATTTTTATGATTTTTTACTAATCAAACAATTCTTTAACTAATCAAACAATTTTTAACTTTTCTTTAAAATTCAGTTTTTTGGTGAAGTTATTAAGATTTATTTCGAGATGTGTTTTCATTACAATTATTATTATTATGAACATTTTAGAAATTTTATTGTTATTTTAAATTATAAACCAATTTTACTACTTTCTTTTTTTTGGTAAGATGTTAAGACTCCACTTCATTAATTAAACATAGAACGGTAGTGTAGAGAATTATTAACCTTTTATCTTTAATGTAGAATCAATTTATGGCGACAGAATTCATTTTTGAATTTTTTTTGAGCAATGTATACTATGTTTTAAATGGCATAAGAGTTTTCTCGATCCATGATTAACTTATTGGCCGAGCTCTCTCATTCCACACGAATAAATATTCCTAAGTAGCCTTTTTCTGTGTTTCAAAAAAAAAAAAAGTAGCCTTTTCCTACCAACCACTCTCTTTTTATTATATTTTCAGTAAGACCTTTTTTCTTTTTTCCAGTTAGAAGTGAACAACTGGATCATTTAAGTTATCGTTGTTTATTCTCAACCAATTAGGTTTCAACATTCTCAAAGCTCATTTTAGTTACTTTCTATCAGAGTAATCAAGTATCAAATATCCACTAAACTAATAGGAGGATCTACCAAATCACCTTCAAAGCTTAAAAAGTCATATTCACAATAATAAATGTCACTATAGTTATAACGTTATTATTTTCTTTGGCTGTTTAGAATGACGCGGTTCCAATATGTGGAAAGGCAAATGTATTTCTAAAAATCACATTAGGTTTGACCCAAAACACACCATTTTCAATTCGTCAAACCCAAAATAAATTATTAGGTCAGTATGACGTTGGAAACCGGTAATACACCCAAATGATGTCGACATATTTGTCTCAGACATTTCTGTGTCGATAAAGGGATTCCCGATATTCTGTCATTCCGTGTTCATAATGACTTATGAGTTACTCTTAGAAACCTCAGTTATGTCAATTCGCTGAGATTCTTAAAATTACTATGGTTCTCATCGTTTTTAATAAAATTACTATGGTCCTCGTCGTTTTTTCATCCCGACGCTGCATATGCAAGTTATTGGATATTGTTAGTTTGTACATTCAAGGCCTGCCTAACATTTATTTGGGCGCTTGGATAAAATAAAATTTAACTCCATAAGATTTATATTTATTGAAATTTAAATATATTTTAAATTTGTTTATCAACATCTTTATAAAATTTATGATGAAAACAAATTATATATACATAATTGAGGGTCATTTTCAACTAAATTTAGTGAATATTTAAATGTTTCTATATATAAAACGTATATAGAAAAGATATTGAGCCCCTTAACTAATAAAATACGAAGGGACATGGGTCTAGATCCGGGACGGTCGCATCTTTTGTCCTCCCATCTTAGTCGGCCATGTGTACATTATTGTATTAAAATTTATATTTTGTATCTCGATACAACATCTATGATATTGATAATACTCAGATATTTGTGATGCGAAAATGTAAAGTTTGGATGCAAAATGTACATCTTAAATTCAAAATACTTAAATATGTATAATACAATATAAAATTCTAAGTTATTTTATAATATTTTAAATCATAAAATCATAATATCTCATCAATACCAAAAAATCAATTTTTTCATCAAAATGGTAAATCAATTTTCTCGCCAAATCATAAAATCAAAATTTCTGTCAAACATACAAATTTTTCTCGTCAAAACCATAAATTTTTCTCGTCAAAACCATAATATCAGATTTTTCGCTGAAACCATAAAAATGAATTTGTTAAATACATAAATTCTCTACGAACTTTAAAAAATTATTTACAAATATAAAATAAGTTTACACAAATTTAGTATCTTTCAACTTATAAAATCAACCATCCAAGTCCCACTAATTCTTTTCATTATGTAAAATAATAATATACAAAACTTAGATCCATATTTATAATCCTCCAAAACCTGTTTGCTTTTCTTTATTTCTAACATTAAGTTTGTTTAAACCTAAGAACAACCTGATTTTTTTATTTTTCGTTTTAAGAAAAATTTCGTAAACCATAAATGAACCAATTTCATTTTTATAATATTAAAATTTTTTGAACTTAGTAAAAATTTAGGTCACGTTGGATATTAACGAAGAGAGAAGTCCAACGAATGTTAGATGCAAAGTTCTGCACCTAATTAAAATCATTATACAAATAACCAAATATAATGTAAAACTAACGTGGTATTTGTTAAAATATAAGAAAATTCATTTTTTGTTGTCCAATACTCTTATTATTATGTTTTTAAAACAAACACTATTAGTGATCCAAATTATTTACAGTATTGTAAATAGTCATTTTTCAAATAACTGAAAATATATGGTTATCAAATAACTAAAATATAAGAAAACTCATGTCTTTTTTTTTCATTGTACTTAGGCATAAAATAACTGTACGACTATAACTATTCTTAATCTACTGTTATTTTTTTGGAGAAATAATCTAGTGTTATTTGGACCGGTATATCTAGTTTTCACCACAAATGATTAATACATACTAAATTTATCTCACATAAAAACAATATTACTAAAAGTAATTTTTAATAAATTGTCTAAATAATGATCTTGTGCTAATCAAAACTTAGTAAAATTGTGAATATATATTTTCATTTCATATTTAAAATTGCTTCATATATCCAGTTACTCGTTATACTTGACATTTCTAATGAAGGTTTCAATTTCTGCTTATATATTTAATATCATTCATATAAACACACACACACACACACACATATATATATATATATATAATAAAACTGAAAATGTAATTAATATGTTATTTATTATTTAAATTTTAAATAATTGAACTAAAAGAAACAAGACCGAGCACGGCTAAACTTTTTGTTTGTTTTTTTCTTTTGGGTGGAACTCTAGTTTTAAAAAAAAATAAAAAAAAATGTGCATGCGTATAACTTTTAAAGCATATCTTGTTGCGACCCGTCCGAAGTCAAAATTTAGGACCAAAAAATAAAATAAAAGAAAAAGGGGACTTTCTTATTGTGAAAACAAAATTGAATCGTGTATTAGTTGTAACTTGTAACTTGTGGTTGCGCCAAAGTCTTTGTTATATTCTATGTGAAAGTATGGAACAACCCAAAATACAGAGCAAAATTTGGTCGACGCTCGACAGTCGACACAACTGTAAAAAAAACACAAAAACAATTCTCTCTTTAACTCCTTCTATCTCTCTAAAACGGGCATCATTACAATAAGCAAAATCGGCATAACCACAAGATTTGGTAGATTAAAAGGAAGTTTATTGCTTCCACTCTCCTTCTTGCACAAGTTATTGTAGTCTCTTAGCTCACAAGAGGAACAAGGGGTCCAAAATCCATACCTGGGGCATCTTAGAACAAGCGCAAATGCGCATTCCTTTCTAAATTAACTCTTTTTGTCTGTACAAACTAAATACATTTGACTTTTTTTTTTTTTTTGTAGATCTTTCTCAAGTAAAACATTCTTTAAAATATCACCTTTAACAAGACGGAATAAGTGTATTTAGGATTTTCTGTCCCCTCATAGTTTCAATTTTACAAAGAAAATATAGACTTAAAAATAAATTCAAAACAACCCAAACGTGGCAGAACTCTGAGGAATATCACCATTTAACAGCAAATCCCAACTGCTAAAGTCATCAACATCCCACAGGCTCATCATATTGTTCTCAACAGTGTTGTCCACACCATTGTTATTACTATCATTACCATAGTCCGACCAATCGAAATCCGGAAACGGCAAATCCTTCAAGATACTTGATTCATTAGAGGAACTGGAAGACGTGGATGTGGATGAAGACATTGCAAAGTTCTTGCCGATAAGCTCTAAACTCTCTGGATCAATCATAGGGACTTCTCCGACGCCATACTCAGGATTCATCCCCATAAGCTGATCCTCGTAACTTACAAACATGTTCTTGCTGTTGTTGTCTTTACCATAATTAGTTCGTTCCTCCACAGGTTTCTGCACCTTCTTTAAAGGTTTTTCGTCTTCTTGTTCAACCATAGAGAGTGGTTTATGAGTGAGAGGATCGATCCCCATTTTCCTTAACTTCTTCTTGATGTGAGTGTTCCAATGGTTCTTGATTTCATTATCTGTTCTTCCTGGTAAATGAGAAGCTATCTTTGACCATCTTCACATACCAAAAAAAAGACACATCTCAGAAACAGAGAATATATTAATATCTCATAAAGGTTTACTCAAAAACAAGGAAGGTGTTGTAACCTGTTGCCGAGCTGGGAATGGAGGTCAATGACCATCTTCTCCTCGTAATCCGAGAGAAGACCTCTCTTAAGGTCTGGTCGAAGATAATTTGTCCAACGAAGTCTACAACTCTTACCACACCTGAGAAGACCAGCAAGCTTCGGAACAGCTCTCCAACAACATTGTCCATTAGTGAGGATAAAGTTCATGAGCTTCCTGTCTTCATCTGCAGTCCATGGTCCTTTCTTCAACCCTACTTTGTCACAGCATGGTTGTCTCCCCATTTCTTTTCTCTACTTCTTGTTCTTTTCAGACACTATTTTTTATCAATAAACAAACCAGAGTATACACTCTGTTTTTTCTTTTGTCTATCTCTCTTTGTCTACTAGAGTAAGTGTTAATGAAAGTTGAAGACAGATCGTTGGGTAAGCGTGGCAACCACCTATATATATATGCATTCTCACATTTATGTATGTGTGTGTATCTATAGGCTATTGAAAATGATTAAAGAGAGCAAAAAGAATGTAAGGATAAATTTTGAGCACTAAGATATATATAATTCAACCTTTTCATATCCTTGTTCACACATTGGTGGTCCATTACTCACTTTTCATTTTGCCATTTCTTATATTTCAGTTTAGTTTATGGATGTGGGTTTATCTGTGTCATATGATAATACATATGCATTTTTTTCTTTCTTTCTTATGATATCTGGATAACTTCAAACTTTATATATTGTTTTTTTCTGTGTTTGTGTGTGTACTTTAAACTATATATATGTTATTCAAAATAGCTTTTATAGTTATCATGGTTTATGTGATAAAATACAAACAGTTATGAAATTAATGAAAATTAAACATGGTTTTAACAAAAAAAAAAAGTCATCACAATAGTGTTAATTAAATATTTCGTCTGAAGAAAGTAATTAAATATTACCTCTGAAAATTTATTTTGTAGCTTTTTCAGATTTGAAGCTATTTTCACGTTTTCTAAATATATATATTGAGATCTGAAAAATATTCAATATATTAAATATTGTATTAGTATGGTTATAAGTAAGTTTGATTCAGCACCCCATATAGCTACTTGGCAAATTGACCCTTTCTAGTAAGAGAAGTTAAACATGTATTTATATATGATAAAACCAAATATATGTAATCTGAATTATTAATAAAGAAGCCCAAGATCCAGTAAACAATAACCATGGCAAAAACTATTAATAAACGTAATTCCTCAAGATCTTTGTTCTGATGGAAACAGGAATAGTAACGTTATGAGCTCCATCAGTCCAACACAAGCTTCCAAAATAAAAGTCCCCGTTCACTTTGTGATTCGATCTCACTCTCACAGTAAACGTATTCTTCGTTGTGCTGGAACCAAACTCAAGAGTCTTCGGATTCACCTCAAGCTCTATACCAAAAGGAGCCTCAACCACGGGTTTGTAAACCGAACCAGCGGGTCCAACATTCGTTACTGTTCTAGTCACGGTGACCTCTCCAGTGAGACTTGGGATTGTGATCGAAGGCATGTTGACGTCAAGCATAGAAGGCCGTGGCGAAGGGCATTTATAAGGCTTGCCAATTAGTTGGGAAACTTCATTTTCTGTATAATCCGCAGAACACAAGTAATGAACATAGTCATCCAGACCCATGTCGTAAACAAGTCCAGGGTTTGTTACTTTCTCTGGGTTGATCAGACCTCCTCCATAGTCAAACGGATCAGCAAGTTTACGTGTTGATCCCTCTGAAAATATAGGCTCTCCAGATGGATCGGTCCTCCATGCTTCATTTCAATACAAAGCATGTTTAGTGGCTTTTCAGAATTATTTAGTAGAAGGTTAACCAATATAATCTTTAAGATAACCAAAAATCCCAATCCAAAACCAAAAAAAAAAAAAGAGAGAAACATCAAGTTAATCCATACTAGATTTTTATGTGTTAATTAGGTAAGTATTTTACTTTCAAAACCTAATAACCGGTTACAAGGAATAAAAAAAAAACTAAAATTTGGGTATGGTTTTAGAGTGAGAACCTGTTGTGACAAGAGCGGATCGGATTGCAGCAGGAGACCAGTCAGGGCGGATTTGTCTGACTAGCCCAACGACTCCTGACACAATAGGAGTTGACATTGATGTTCCCGACATGAACTTATACTCATCAGATACAGCAGAAAGAATGTTAGCACCCGGTGCCGCTATGTCTGGCTGCATTATATTATCCAGCAGAGTCCCAAATACAGTTAACACTTGCATCAATATATTTGAAAAAACAACAAAAAATAATAATAATAGACAAAACCTTAAGAATTGCTGGGGAAACTGAGTTAGGTCCTCTACAAGAAAAACGAGGCACTCTAGATGCAACAGGCCGACCAATGAGAGTCTTGGAAGTACTTATCTTTACTTTGGGCTCGCTGCAAAATCAAAATCTTGTATGTCACAAAAAGAAACTAATAAACAGATAAATGATGATATAAAAAATGGTGGTGTAATAATATTTATTACTCGGCGGTCTGCATATAGTATAACATGTCAGTTCCAAATACGTAATCTACAACCGCGCAAGGAACATCCAAGCCACTGCAAACAATAGGATCAACTACAGATTGTGCGTAGATGATGCCAGCACATCCATTATTCAATATACGGTTTGCCTTTTGTATCTTTTCATTGTTTGTAGTAAACGCAAGCACGATTGTCCCTTTAGTTCCCCCTTGTGCGTTTGCGGATTCCATTATATCATCTAGAAATTCAAGATTAGCAAATCCAACTTCTGGGAATACGTTTATACCTTCACCCTGAAATAGTCCCCGAGAACAAAAAGTCACAAATCATAGTAAAAAAAATGAAAAGAAAACAATATAAAATAAAATAAACACAGTTTTAAAAATAATTAGTTTGAATATTAAACCGGATAGAAAAAAATAATAATTATATGAAAATGAATAAAATAGATAATTACAGTTTTAAAAAATAATTATTGAAAATGAATAAAATAGATAATTACAGTTTTGAAAATAATTATATGAAAATGAGTAAAATAATTAGTTTGGGTATTAAACCGGATAGCAAAAAATTAACGAAAATTAATTTGGAATATTTTTAGGTAATTTTCTCAAAATAAAAATAAAAAATGGAAAGCAAGAGAATGAGGGGTTATACAAGGATTGTTATATTGTTTCCAAGAGTGATAGGGACTGGGAAGGAGCGGTCCAAAGAGGTAGCAGCTACGGTTATGATCCATGGAGCAACATTATCAATAGTTTGAGAGTTTGGTCCCTCGTTTCCAGCAGCACAGACCACAGGAATACCTTTCATCACCGCCTGGAACGAACCAAACGCTATATCGGTAGTATCAGTCTCGAAACCGGTTGGTGCGTCATCACCAATCGAAATCGATAAAACATCAACACCATCACGAATGCTATGATCAATTGCTTTGAGTATATCAGGTGAACGACAACCAAGTTTTCCCCAGCAACTCTTGTACATAGCTATACGTGCATGAGGACCAGCGCCTCTAGCGACTCCTCCACCAAGTCCGTTGTAGCTTACGTTCGCCACGTAAGAACCAGCTGCTATCGCGGACACATGTGTGCCATGGCCTGAACCGTCTCTTGGGGACCTATACTCATTGTTTTCCTGGAGATCTAATTTTCCATCCATTTGTTGTGTAAGACCTTCAAGATAGAACTCAGCTCCTATGAGCTTCTTGTTGCAATGTTTCGTGGCGTCAAATCCATCCCCTGACACACATTTTCCTTTCCAACGTTGAGGGATCGGTCCTAGACCTGTGTCCTTGAATGACTTTGACTCTGGCCATATCCCTGAGTCTATGACGCCGATAATAGCTTCACTGCCCAAACGGGTTTCAGGTAGAAGACCTTTTGGAGAAGTAGCCGAAAGTCCCAAGTAATCGAATGTTCTTGTTGTTTTTAGCCTCAGTGTTCGACTTGGTATAACACAAAGAACCTCGGGAAGCGCTGATAGAAAACAAATGTAATTTATATAGAGTTTAATGGAGACATAAAATGACTTTTGAGTCAATGAACGTTCTAAAGTACCTGAAAGATTCTTTGCTTGAGCATCGGTAAGTTTTGCTGCAAACCCGGAGAAACCATGCCTATAACTGTATACTATAGATTTTTGGGCAGCCTCTTTGCTGTGGCACGATATATAAAAGAACAAAATTGAGTATACACTTAGTTTCTGCTCATGGTAACGTTTTAAACTGTATAAATTGCAATATTCGTATATACCTTCCCAGGATTGGTTCCAAAATTTGGTAATGCGATTTAGTAACTAGGTCAGGAGTTTCATGTTGCTTTGCTCCCAAATGGACAATGCGGACCTGGGATTACCAAATATAAAATGATAAAAATATCAAATAGACTAATTACAATGTTCTCGTCTCAATATCTAGGGAACTACGGACTTAAGACCCAAACCTCGTGATTGAAAAAAAAAACATTTATGTACCTTTTTCAAGCCATTGACTTGTGCCGCAGAGATAAACACCCCGTTCAGGATTAACACGAGACTAATGACCAGAGAACTTGTATCTCTAATCAGAAACCTCATTGTAATTTTTGGGTTTAGATAAATGTAGAGGGGTTATAACAGTCTTTCCCCTCAACAATGATCCTCTGATTAAAACACAAGCTGCTTGGACATGTCTTCTGATGATCATATTATAAGGGTTTTGAGAAAACACTGAATATTAGAAAACTAATTAACTAGATTCTAAAAATAAACATACCACCAGACAACAGTTAAGAAATAAACAAATTACCATTTTAAACGAAAATGAAATTTGGGACTTTTCAGCATTCCACCTAGCTAGTTTGTTTGTCAGAATAGCTATAACAGCAACACCTGTTTAACGAAATTACCCCATAAACCTCACAAAGTCCTACCAACAATATCATGAACTTGGCTAAACATAGAGAAGTTTTTTACTTTCTCGTTGGCCGCCATACCCAATCAGATTCTTCGGAGGTCCTGGATGAACCATCATCATCATTATCATCATCGTATCTAAATTGCTTTAATCTGAATTCTCACAAATGAATAACCTTTGATAAATAAATAAAACATTTTACTTGCTATTTTTGACAAGCTTCATGAGATTCAAGAATACAAAGTAAAGAGTGGGATGGGGTGACAACTGAATTCTCCAATAACACATAAAATTGAGAAACTGAATTAAAGTCTGTTAACAATATACCAAAAAAAAATAATCACTGTCAAAAGATTTAGTCAAGTAAAGACATATGTTGATTAGAACAGAAGGAATGCCATGTTTTTTTTTTTTTTTTTGAAAAGAGGAATGCCATGTTGAGAGTAACATTTTTGGTTTGATGAAGGTGGGCTTGGTTGATCGTGTATGTTTTTGTTTGATTATTGCACATTAGTCAAGTTAAATTTTCCAATGTCAGGAGTATTACTTTTAGATATCGCAGTTTACCCAATATACCACAAATCCATGTTTTGATGTTTTTTTCCTAAATATGGCTGGATCACCTTAGGTCCAAGGTTATATCTAAAACCTGAAATTCTTCTGAAGTGATCCGTGACGTGTCGTAATCTTGTTTTACAAGGCCACGGTGATTCTCAAAATATCTTGTTGTAGTAATGCAAAGAAAGTATGAGATATTTAAAATGAAAAATTTAATCAGTTTTATCTGCTCATCCTAATGTCACAAAATATCATAAATCCACTGCTTAAACATTTTTAACGACAGTGTATATATTTAAAATGGAAATGAAAATTTCTAATATTATAATACTATATTCCCTATATTTCAAAATAAAATATGTTATAAAATTTTCACACATATTAATAAATACATTATTTTTGTGATTAGCTATTTCCCATAATAAAAAACTAATCAAAATTCAATTAACACAATTAATGTTTTCGAAGTTCATAATTTACCATTAGTACTAGGTGATTTTCCCGTGCTCATGCACGGGTATAAATACTTTTAAATTAAATATATAATAATAATTGATTATTATTTACTTTTAATTTTAAATTAATTTATAATTTTATGCATCATTTATATGAATAGTATTATATTACTTTACTTACACTGTAATTTTATATATGTTATATCTAGTCAATTTTGTTGTTTTACGGTTGGTTTAATTATCATTTGGATAAATTGGATTGCTTCTCTGAATTCAACTGTAATATTTTTAAAATATATTAATTTTTAATTAGTTACTTATTTACATATGGTGGGTGTTGTCTTAGATATGTAAATATATTTTAGGAAAATTATGTATAACTTAAGATATATTGTGCTTATAATGAATTAAAAATTAACTAAAGTGTCTGATTCCAAAATACGTAAATTAATATAACGAAAATATTCTAAAGTCTCATGGATATATATAAATTTTACAAAAGAACTAAAATTGTAAGAGTTGGTTAGTATTTATTTTTATTTGTTAATATGTTATGAGTTATCATATGATTAATAAAAGGTTACATGCATTTATAAATTCTAAATAACTTTATGCTTTAGATTTATTGAATGTAAACTGAAATTTATTTTAAATAATCTTAAATTGAGAATTCGGATTTGCTTTGATATTTTGATTATGGTTATAATTAGTTTCACAAGCATAAAACATAAAATTTAAAAAAATTAATATTAATAAAATAAATAATTTTAATAATGATAAAATATCATATATCTAGCTCATTAGAAGAATTATTTTGACCAAACGATGTTTATTGTTAAATTTATTTTTAGTTTTTAATATCTCTTAAAAATAAGCACTACACAGAATTGTGATTGTATTTGAAAATAATATTATATAAGTAAAATATAAGTTCTAGATAATTTTCTGTAATTGAAAGATATATAGTCAACTAAATATATGAAAATAAATAAAAATTCAATAATACTAATTATAAACTATTTTATTACTCTAAAAGTATATTTATTTTATTTAAAAATATTTTTAAATGTATTATTACTATTTTGTGAACTTTCCTTTTTTATGAAAGTATATTATATATACATATTTTATGTTATTTAAAAATATTTTTAAATGTATTATTACTATTTTTTCAACTTTTCTTTTTTATGAAATCATATTATATATACATATATTTCCGTTTTAAATTTGTTTTTTGATGACTTTATAGAAAATGCCTTTTTATTACATATCATTTTGGAAACTTTTGAAAAGGAAAAACTATAAATAATAGAAATTAATAATACTATTTTTAATTCATTAAGGGTATCAATGTAATCAACCATCGTGAGAATGAACGTGAGAGCGACACATAGGAAACTGACTTCTCAAATAATATTATAGAGATATGTATTGAAAATGTAAAATATGGATCATTTTGAAACATATGGAATATTAAAAGGAAAAACTCAAGTTCATATTTTAATAACAATATTTACATTTACCATACCATCATGGTTTTGAAAGACAATAACAGTTTCAAGTTTTAACTTGTTTTGATTCTACGCCGATGATTATATAAAAAGAAACAAAACCGTTTTGGTCTCAAACTATAAACTAAAGTAGTCCCAAATTAACTATTAGCTTTGGTGTTATGTCCTATCTTCGTTGTAAGCTAAATAAAACTCCCAACATCCTTAACCAAATCCTTCAGTTTAAATACAACATGGGTTGAATACAATCACCATTATGCTTCTGGGATACAATCAGAGAGGACATTGTTTGAGGAGATTCCAGAATAATTAAGAACCCTAATATTCTTGGAAGATTCTTGTAAAAAAAAGAATCAGCCTGAAACTAAAACCCTGAAAATGGGGTTGTCTTCTCTAACTGTATCCAATAATAGGAAGCATATTGTAGTTGTGTTCATAGGTTTAGTATTTATCTTTAAGATAGCCTTAATTTCTTGTGCAAATCAGGAAAGCCAGGTATGTTACCAATTGCCGATTTTTTAAAATCTTTTTATTTCTGACAAAAGAAAGAGACTTTAATTGATGATCATGTTATTATTAGATTTACACGGTGCATTTGGGTGAGAGGCAACATAATGATCCTAAACTAGTTACTGATTCACATCATGAACTCCTTGGATCGCTTCTTGGAAGGTAATCAATCATATGATCATTGGTCTATTCTTTCCGAACATCATGAATGTTGCGCGGAAAATAATGGTGTATGATGAATTTGAATGTGTTAATTGATGATGCAGCAAAGAAGCTTCTCGTGAGTCTATGATTTATAGTTACAGACATGGTTTTTCAGGATTTGCAGCGAAACTTACATCATCCCAAGCAAAGGAACTCTCAGGTAAATAAGAAACATTTCTCTCTGAGGAAACGTGTCGCACAAGAATTAGGTCAAACTCGGAAACAGTACTAATCATACATTCAATTTGGTTTAATAATAGAACATCCGCATGTTGTTCACGTAACAAGAAGCAAGAACATGAAACTGCTGACAACAAGGGTTAGTGATTACTTGGGACTCACTCCAACCGCTCCAACCGGTCTTTTCCATGAAACCGATATGGGAAGCGACGCAATCATAGGAATCATTGACTCCGGAATATGGCCAGAGTCAAAGTCATTTAATGACAACGGCCTCGGACCGATCCCGGCGCGTTGGAAGGGACAATGTGTTTCAGGAGTAGGTTTCAACGCATCAATATGCAACAAAAAGTTGATCGGAGCTAAATACTACGCAAAGGGTCTAACCCTAAAGTACAAAGGAAATTTCAATGCAGCGGAGAAAGAAGAGGCCATGTCCCCTTTGGACAAAGTCGGCCACGGAACACATTGTGCATCAACTGCCGCAGGTTCTTTTGTCCAAGACGTAAGTTTCCTCGGTTTAGGTCACGGAACCGCGAGAGGCAGTGCTCCAAAGGCCCGTCTCGCCTCTTACAAAGTGTGTTGGAACAACGAGGAGTGTTTCGCACCGGATATTTTAAAGGCTATGGATCACGCTATAGGTGATGGAGTCGATGTTTTATCTCTTTCGCTCGGATCAGAAATACCGCTTGATTTCGAGGTTGATAGGAGTGATTTCGCTATTGCTGCATTCCATGCCGTTATGAAGGGTATTCCAGTGGTATGTGCTGGTGGGAACGATGGTCCCGAAACTCAAACCATCTCTAACGTTGCTCCATGGATCATAACAGTCGCGGCCACGACCATGGACCGAGAGTTCTTCACGCCCATCACTCTTGGAAACAATATAACCGTATTGGTAGGTAGTATAAACTTTTGCTTGTGATACAAGGAAAAAATACTTTTAACTATTTTTTTGTGGGGTGTATTCTCAGGGACAAGAAGGTATATACATAGGAGAAGAAGTCGGATTCGCTGATCTTGTTTTCTTCGATGATTTGACCAAAGAGGATTTTGAAGCTGGTAAAGCCAAGGGAAAAATCTTGTTTAGTTTCATTACAGACAAATTTACAGACGAGATGGCTGAATTCGTGAAATCGAAAGGCGTTGTTGGCATCATCATCGCAACAAAGCCAATCGATTTGATCGAACCGGGCGTTGCGGGTATCGCTACTGCCCGGGTTGACTTTGAAGTTGGGATGGATATTTTACTGTATATCCAAACATCAAAGTAAGTTCTACTCCGTCACATTTCTCTATTTGTTATTCATTTATAAACTCTTTTGATGCTATAGAGTTTTATTTTTCCTTTTTTGTAATGATTTCAATAGATTTCCTAAAGCTAAGATCAGCCCAACTAAGACATTCGTTGGTCGACCTTTGTCGACTAAGGTGGCAAGGTTTTCTTCTAGAGGTCCAAATTCAATATCTCCTGCCATTCTCAAGGTGACGTATAAACTTCTTACTAACTTTTTTTCTTTCTTTTAAATGCATTTTGCCCGTCTTAAAGTTGGCTTGTGGTTTTTAAGTACAGCCGGATATAGCAGCACCAGGTGTAGGTATACTTTCGGCCGTACCATCAGCGGCAAAATACCAGTTCATGTCAGGAACATCGATGGCTACACCTGTCGTATCAGGAATAGTTGCACTTCTAAGGCAAAATCGCCCTGACTGGTCTCCTGCTGCGATTCGATCCGCTCTCGTCACAACCGGTAAAAATACATTTATAAAAATAAAAAATTTGTGTTTTTGCTCACCAAGAAACGTTGTACTTATTTCTTGTTTCCAAAGAATCTTCAGTGATTGACTGATAACCCTTTGCAGCATTTCAAACGGACCCATCGGGAGAGCCTATTGCAGCTGAAGGTTCCCCGCGCAAAATCGCTGACCCATTTGACTACGGAGGCGGTCTCGTGAACCCGGGAAAGGTGGCAGACCCGGGACTTGTCTACGACATGGGCCATGATGAATATGTTCATTATTTGTGTTCAGCAGGCTACGAAGATGTATCCATCTCAAAACTACTTGGAAAAATCTACACTTGCCCTACCCCAACTCCATCCATGCTTGATGTTAACTTGCCCTCCATCACAATCCCATATCTTAGTGAAGAGATCACAATAACTAGAACCGTGACAAATGTTGGACCGGTCGGTTCGGTTTACAAAGCTGTGATTGAACCGCCTCTAGGTATAAACCTGCAGGTGAGTCCTCAAACACTTGAGTTCGGTCCCGATACACACAAGATTACATTTACGGTGAAAGTCTCCACGACTCATAGAGTGAATACTGATTATCACTTTGGGAGCTTGACATGGACCGACAATGGAGCTCACAATGTCAGAATCCCTCTTTCTGTGAGAACAAGAGTTTTGAACTTCAAAGTCTAAAACAAAATTATTTTTTACCAAAAAAAAATAATTATTATTAATATTATCGAAAGTATTTTAAAATATAACTGATAAAAGAATATTTTAAAATACGCGTATCTTGTTAACTTTCGGATTTATTATGGGCTTCCAACTTAAAACCAATTGGTGATAAGTGGATTGGCTCTAACCCTTTATATATTACTTAAGGTCCCATTAAATTCCCGATGTGGGATATATATCCCTAATACCCCTCCTCGAGATGATGGCTCTTATCGGCCACAAATCTCGGAACTTTAAGACAATTATACTCGGTCGAGCGAGTCAAATACGACAATTATACCTAGCCGGAAGGTTAAACACGACCTATATACCCGGTCGGAAGGGTAATTAATTAATTAGGAGTTTAGGGCTTTTAGGATCTGGGCTGTGATACCATGTTAACTTTCGGATTTATTATGGGCTTCCAACTTAAAACCAATTGGTGATTAGTGGATTGGCACCAACCCTTTAATTCTTATATTTCCGATGTGGGATGTTTCTCATCAATACCCTCCCTCACGCTCAGACATCTCTAGGTCTGAAGCGTGGACAATGTGGGAATAACATCCACAAAGGGTCCAACATCGGTTTAGTAGTAATTGTAGTAAATTAGGTCAAAGGATCTTATGGCTCTGATACCATGTTAACTTTCGGATTTATTATGGGCTTCCAACTTAAAACCAATTGGTGATTAGTGGATTGGCACCAACCCTTTAATTCTTATATTTCCGATGTGGGATGTTTCTCATCAATATATCTGAATTTGTTATCTATCGGAAGCTGTAAATGTGATTAAAGAAGAAGCGTATCTTTTACTATCATATGTTATGTATTGTATGCGATTATATCTTACTCTTGATTTAGCCGACGTGGCTCATTCGACAGTTCCAGCGAGCTCGTTTGGTAAAGGCTGCTGCTCTATGTTGTCATCTTTCTGTGTTAGGTTTAGGAGTTGGGTCAAACCGATTCTCTTCGGATCGAGTTATTGGCTTTTTATGTTTTTCTTTTTCCTTCAATACGTATTTTTTCTTATAAATACGTTTAATAGTGTAATTAAAAAGAGTGTAATTAGAAAGCGTAAATGTGGATGTGTAATTATTTCAAGAAGCAAACTGTGTTACAAGATACTAATTGAACCCAATATTGAAATCTATTGTTTATTGCAGCTAAATTAGTAATGCGGTGGTCAATTTATAAAAGATATTAGCAGATCCAAACAAAAGAGACAGGCATGTGAAGATGGATCCAATGCCAACCTCTCTGCCTCACTGTCATTACCATTTCCACAACTTAAAAAGAGTACACACGTCACGTTGTTTTAACTCAACAAAACAAACAGCAATAAAATATTACGAAACCCAAAACCCTAAGGTTACTTGCATAACAAGAAACATGAAAGAATTGTTAAGTGAGAAGTGAAGAAAGAAGACAACACACACAAATATACAGAAGAAAACAAACAAATTAAGGTTTCTGAAGAATCCTCATTCATCAACGTCCATCTACGGAAGTGAAAGACTCAGCGAATCCGTAAGGTCTAGAGGGAATACTCATCTGCGTGTTACTGTTACCCAAGCTAGGTAAAAGCGACGAAGTAGATGATTCAAGATCACTTCTTCCTTCATAAGCTTGCCATTTCTTAAGAGCCTGAGGCAAAGACATGTCGAGATCGATTCCGTATATGTCCTCTGGATTCTGATCAGCCGGTTTCCATAGCTCGACGAGTGAGGACAGAATGTTGACTGCGTGTCCCATGTCTGGTCTCTGGTAAGGCTCACGGGCACAGCAATGGCCTGCTAACTCAGCAACGGTGTGAACACTGGCTAGGGTTTCTTCATCGAGGTCTATTGTCGGGTCGATTGCTTTCTTGAATGATGATTCCTTGTTGATGAACATTCTTTTGAACCATGAGACCAAGTGAATGCTCTCTTCTGGTTGCGATTCGTCTAGAGATTTCCTTCCTGTTATGAGTTCCATTAGAATCACCCCGAAGCTGTACACATCGACCTTGGTGGTTACTCGACCCGTAACTGAAACAAACAATATCACAATCATCAATATGAATAAAAACTATGATTAACAAAACATAGTCTAAAGCCTCCAAAATCTCAGGACCGACCATCTGCTTATCATCATCTTTAGTCAATAAACATTAAAATGAATGGGCAAAAGTATCAAACTAACTAACCTGCATACTCTGGTGCCAAGTAACCAAATGTTCCAGCAATTCTGGTCTCAATGGACCCTTTCCCTTCAGGTGCAAGACGAACGAGTCCAAAATCCGCAACCTTAGCCCTCATATCATCGCCAAGAAGAATGTTTGAAGGCTTAAGATCTCTATGAATGAAGCTCTGATGAGCTAATCCATGTAGATACTCCACACCTCTCGCCACATCCAAGGCCAAAGTCAATCTCTGTTTCCACAACAGAGGCTTAAGCCCTTCCTCCGACCACTCAAACAGATGCCTACTCAACGTCCCTTGAGGCATATACTCATACACAAGCAACTTCTCATTCCCATCAAGACAATAACCAAGAAGCGTAACCAAATGTCGATGCCTAACCTTCGTCAAAACCGCAATCTCCGATTTAAACTCCGCAAAGCCTTTACCAGCAATCACACCATTCTCCATCCTCTTGACTGCAATCTTCGTTCCATCGTGCAGTTCGCCTTTATACACGACCCCGAAACCTCCTTGTCCTAAAATGTTGTCTTGGCTGAAGTTGTTAGTCACTGAACGAAGCACTTGGATTGAGATCAGCATGTTTCCCGCTTCCACCATTTGGATATTATCTCCCACCTCGCTCGTACCGGGAAGCGTGTAGGTATCACTTATACCTCCAACGCTTACGCTTGAACCCGCTACAGTGATTTTAACATTCTCATTGTCAGAGCCAGAGTGTCTTGGATGTACAACAACTGCATTATTTGAGTTATCTCCTCTTGTGAACCGCTTTTGCCTCTTCTTGTACCAACAGAAAACTAATAAACCAATCAAGAAGATCATTAATAGTCCACCAAGAACAGAACCAATGACGATTCCTATAAAACCCGAAGACGCCGCTTTTACTCTTCCATCACTTAACCCTGAACCAGAGCCACCACCTGAAGGTGAAGAAGAGCCAGGAGGAGATAAAGAGCTTTTATCTTTTCCCATGTCCGGATTGTCTTTGGTATTCACAACCACATTGTTTTTGAAAACAGGAACCTTCCCGAAAAGATGGTTACTAGAAACGTCTAGTGTTTTGAGATTAGGTAACGTTGTGAGCTCATGAGGAATGGTACCAGTAAGGTTGTTGATACCAAGAATGATTCTCTGAAGAGATTTGATGGAACCAAACTCCGGAGAAATCGTCCCGGTTAGACTCATTTTCTCAAGATTAATAACCGTTACGTTCCCATTGCTACAAGTGATTCCAATCCAGTTGGTGCAAGGATCATTCCCTTTCCAACTCTCAGCTAACCTCAACGGATAATCCATCGAGCTAGCGATGATAAGCAAAGACTTAACTCTAGGATCACACTCACCTGGAGCAGGCAAGCAGAAGCTATTGGTATCTTCCTCCAAATCAACCGAAACAGAGGGTTTAAACACAGGGACTGGTCCTTGGAGATGATTGTTGGTCAAGTTCACAGCTTTCAACGAGTCAAGACTCATCAAAGAAGCGGGAACCGGACCTGTGAACGAGTTATCCCTCAAACTCAAGCTCTCAAGCTCTTGTAAACCGGAGAAATCAGGTAAAGAACCGGAAAATGAATTCGAATGAAGCCAAACCTCTCTTAAACCGGTCATGTTCTGAAGAACATGGATCGAACCGGTTAGTTTCTGACCGTTGAGCCATAACGACTGAATCTGAGAGCCGGACAACCCCAACGGCAACTCACCTTCCAAGCTATTAAAAGCCAAATGCAAAATAGATAAACCGGGAAACTCATCCGGTCCGAGAAAACCGGGTAACGTACCGGATACGTTAGCCGAGTTGGCCGAGAAGTTTTGAAGAGCAGAAGCGTTTCTCAAACTCTCGGGAATCTGCCAAGACGCGAAAGGGTTGTTGTCCACGTCGACAGATTGTAACGAAGCTAAACCTTCGAAGATATCGCTGGGGATGGATTCGAAGTGGTTGTTGCTTAGCATCAAGACTTGTAATGAAGAGAGACCACTTAGAGTGGGGATAGGACCAGAGATGTTGTTCCACTGAAGCTCGAGGCGTTCGAGCTCCGTTAAGGAACGGATGTCGGGAGAGAGTGTGCCTTGGAGGTTAGAGTGTCCGATTTGGATCCGGGTTACTCGTTTGGTTGATGTGCAAACGACGTGGGTCCATTTGCACGGGTCCGGGTCGGACCAACCGAAAGAGGGAGGTGGGTTTAGGCTTTTCTTGAGTGAAAGCATAGCTGATGTGTCTCCATCTGAATCAGCTATAGAAAATTCAAGAAGAGAGAGGAGGAGGAGAAGAAATGAAAACTTGAGTAAGGCTTTGTTTTTCTTCATAGCTTAGAGAGAGAGAGAGAGATTGAGTTGGGAAAAAAAAGTTTGAAGGGTTTGGTTATAATTGTGGAGAAATGAAAGTGGAAATGGGAAGATGGGCCATTGAGAGAGAAGGGAGAAGAAGATGGAACTCTGAAGCAGAAGCCAAGGAGAGTGCACATGGGATGTCTGCCCCACAAAGCCAATGACAGTTTGGTAACAGATTAGATACATCAGAATTATTATTTTATTTTGTTTCTCTCTTTTTTATTTTTATTTTGAATTATCATAGGATTGAGATAACGTTATTTGAAATAAAGAGGTTATAGTTGAAATCTTGACTACGTAGTGGGTTGATGTCAAATGCTTCACACAAACGATATGGAGAACTAGAAAAGCAAAAAAAAATATAGATACACCAAGTTTTCTTCTTCATTTGGCAAAATGTTTATTCTTTACTTTAAATAAGTTACTATTAATAATATGCACTTCATGTTAATAAAAGTTCAATTACTGAACTACAAAAGTAACATAAGTAGAAGTTTATTTTATGCACCACTTCTTGTAAATAGCAAATTGCTTTATTCATATGTTTTAAACACCTAACAGGTTATTTAAATCGGTAATATACCACTTCACAATATTATTTTGTTGTGATTTAAAGAGCAAAAAATATGTAGTTTATAGTTATTTTGTCATTACAGAAATTAATACTGTCCAATCAACCATTGGTAAGGTATGTATTATAAAGAAATAAAAGTAGACATTTGTTGTAACTTGTTAAGTCCTAATTTGGACTTTTATCATGATATTCATTCCCCCAAGAAGTATAATCCGTGTGCCAGTTAACCACTCAGAACCATTTATCTCCAAATTACATTAAATGAGGATAATGAATGATTTTAAAGGATATCAATAAACTAATTTCTTAAACCTTTACAGATTGTATATCTTTTTTTTATTCATGTCTCATCAGAATATAAAGTACTAATCCACCGATTAGAGCAAGTAATATTATAAAACATTTATAAGTTAAATTTTATATCAAAATTTTCATTTATATCTATATGTAAGCAAAAAAACTATAATTTTTATACTAATAATATATTAAAAATTAATATTAATAATTATATTAATCAGGTGTATCATTTAATTATTATTGTATCAAATTTAAAATAGTAGATTTTGAAAAAAAATCTGAAATGACAAAAGACAATTCTCTATTTCAACATTATTGTTAAGTATTTATCATTGTTGTTGTATATAAATTATTTGGTATTGATGTTTATTTAAAAAGTTAAAATATAGTTATTGTGAATTGTTATATCATAATAATCATTGTTATATCTACATTTAGTTTATATATACATATTCAGAAAGTGTTGGTGAAGTTAAATTGGTGTACACATTTTTATGTGACCACTGCATATATTTAGACTTTTTAATTCTGTGTTCGGCAGTTCACGAAAACAATAACTAAACAATTTGTATAATACTCATTATCCTACATCGAGGTCTAGGCTGTCAATGGCATAAGGGTCCAAAGGTTGTTGTTTTTTGGTGTAAAAGGATCCAAAAGTTGTGAAACAAATTGGCAAAATATTCGTATATAACACATAGAAAGCATTAAAAGATATTATAATACGTACAAAACAATACAGGTGTAAAACAAATTTTCTTTAAGAACCGATGCTTTGCGACTAACGAGCGGCAACAAAGATTGATACAAACAGCTAATGAAACTATTATTATATATAACATGAAATATATGTGGTTACGATTAATATGGAAATCTAAAAATTGGATTTCTGTTTTTAGCAAAATGCTACATGTATCTTTCGTTGCTGTCTCATGAATCATGATCTCAAGTCCATTATTCTTTATTTTTTACTATTATATTGTTATTACTTTCTATGGGAGGAAAAAAAACAGGTGAACCTGATTCCCCGTGCACATGGGCTCTCTGCAGATCTACAAGAAAAGAAAGAAACTTTATCTTTTGTAAGTTATTACTCAAATTATTGTGTTTGTAGTAAATTAGGAAATGATAATGATTTAGTAGTGAGCGCAACCTGTCAAAAGACTAAATGACATGAAGTTAAACTCCCCAGGTGTTTTTTGTTTTGTTTTGAATGATACTTTTTAAAATGAATGGAAGACTTTATTTTCTTACTTGATTAGAAATACTTATGTCCATTAACTGGAATTGTTAGAATTAAAGTATGATGAATTAATTTATTTTTACAATCCAGAAGTACATATTGGTCACTAATTGGACCAGACCGGACCAGTGGCGGTCTAATGTTATCTACTACCCCAAGCCAATTTAAAATTATGCTTTATATATAATTTTTTCAAAGTATGATTTGAACAGCTCCGCGTAGGTAGGGACGGTGGACGCTGGAACCGAGTTTGGAATTGAGCTCTGAAGTTTCACATCTAACTGATGAGCGTTCAAGATTTGGATTTTGAGAAAGATTTATCACAATATAATAGTAAATTTGTCAATTATACTAATATATATCATAATCGAATTATCACATTATCTCAACACACAAGAATTAGAGATAAACCACTTCACAACCAATATCAACAGATTTCTTCACAGCATCAACCACCAACTGCGTCTTCCTACTGATCTCTGGCCACTTTGGATCAGCCTCAGAATCACCCCGCTTGATTCCTTGGACAAGCCTCACAAACTCTCTCAGCATCGTTGCCTCCTGCGACTCCTCAGTTCCGCTGCAGTCCACCGTGACTTTCTCCGGCATCACGTTCCAACCAATGTGCATGTCCACGAACTTAGCGCCACTTGTGTACTCGAACCAAGCTGTGTCCTCCTTGTAAGGGATCACATAGTCATTCATATGAGTCGACCCTTTTGATCCTGACCATCCATTTCAAACAACTGATATTGATACAAATGCATTAACATTTATGTTTCAACCGACGATATAAAGACAAATCATAAGAACCTGAGATAGCTAAATCAGTCGAGAGCTGGGAGAGAAAAGAGCAGTGGACGATTGCAGTTGCGGTTGCGGTTGAACCAAACTGAAGAGAAGCAGAGCAGGACAAGATGGTCCCAACAGAGTTTGTGGCGACGGAGGAAGGAAGAGCCTTGACAGATACTGGCATCTGGTAAGACATAGCCCATAGAGCTGCTCCTATAGGATACCAACCAAGCTCTCCGATGGCTCCAGCTAATCCCATCGCCTCTTTGGTTAGTCTCTCCAGTACTTGCTCTGGTACTAGAGTCGTCATCGTGCTGTACATCTGCAAAAACATATATGACGATTACATTTTATAAAACATGGGTCAAAGAAACTTCAATACTTTGGTACATACATTATATTCAAAAAAAAAAAAAAATACTTTGGTAAATTATTTAATGTCATGCAGCCAAACACATAATACTAAACTACATATACTCAAGCTAACTAGCACTGCTCTGCTCAAGCATATACATTCGTTAATAAAATTCAATAACCTATCTTATACGAAAGCCTATTTCAGTATTAAACACACATACTAAAGCCTATTTTGAGTTCTTCTAGGGTTTGATGATTAAAGAAACTATTATATGGGTCAATTAAACAAGTAAAATATTATGTGGACCAGTTTGCAATATTTAATTAAAAAGACAAAGCTTACGTGGCGAACATCTCCAAGCAATCCAGAATCAAACATCGTTTCTCTTATCTTGACCGTCCGTTTATGATGCAACCAGATCGTACCGTCCATGAATTGCACGCCGTTTGATTCACACGCCTCCACGATCGTATCAATCTCCGCCGCGTTCTGAGCCGGCGGTTTCTCAACCAGAAGATGCTTTTTCTTCCCCGCAGCCGTCACCGCCCATTTCGCGCGCTGAGTCACCGGCATCGTCAGGTAAACGGCGTCAACGCGTGGGTCGTCGAGAAGCTCCTCGTAGCTTCCGTACACGGAGACGGTCTCCGGCGATAAGTTGTTAGCGGCGGCGAAGGTATTCGCGGTTTCGATAGACGGATCGCTGATGGCGATGATGACGGCGTTAGAGGATTGGGTTACTGTTCTAACGAATTTTGACGCGAATCTGATGCATCCGAGAAGGCCAAAACGCACCGTATTGTCACCCATTGTTCTTTTTCTTTAAAATGCTGCAGAAGTGTTGTAGTGGTTCAGAACTGAGCTGAATTCTACTGAAAGTGATGAGATTTGAAGCATTTGTAGTAGTACGTGGCAAATCATGAGCCTATGGTAAGAAGTTTAAATTATCTTCTTCAATTTGTTACGTGATTTTTCTTCGTAAAGATTTTTGTGGCCTTTATTTTTTCGGTTTGGTTTGGTTTTATTCAAATTGTCCAGGTTTCTAATTTTGAAAAGTATGCTACCGGTCTTTTTCGGTTCAAGTTTCAAATAATTCATCATTTTTAATTAAAATTAAAAATCTATAGACAATATTTTTGTATGTACTTTCCGAAGTTTTTTTTTTTTTATTCATTATAATTCTCTATGCAATTCAGGTTATAATAATAAAAACAGGTACCGGTTTGTAGCGATGAATATCAATGTGGTTAAGTTTGGTTTGTTTCAGGGGTATATGAGTGAGCACCACTATTCTGTTTAAGGGCATCTCCAACCCAATTCCATTTTTTACTCTAAAATGGAGTAAAATGAAATATGGAGTAGAAAACACTCCAACCCTACTCCATATTCTACTCCATAATAGAGTTTACTCCATAAATGGAGTAATCTGTTTTTTGTTTGTTCATCACTCCATTATGAAGTGGAAAATGGAGTGGGGTTGGAGCATTTTTACTCCATATACTCTTTTACTCCATTTTGGAAGAAAAAATGGAATTTTACATTGGAGATGCTCTAAGGGTACTTTGGTCATTCCAACGAAGAAGCTACTTAACCGTCAAAGTCACCTCAACGAATAATAAAAAAGATTCATCAACTCTGTTTCTCGTCATGATTTATCTTTTTTCTCTGAGAAAACACGATTTTCTCGAGAAAATCAGCATGGCGTATTCTTCAAGCAACCGCCCCGACAACGGAGCTTCGTCCTCTTACCCTCCTCCTCCACCCACTTCATCACGTCTCTACATCGCCAGGGAAGCCAAAGCGATCCTCGCAGGACGTGACGCCTCAAGAATCACCAAACTCGTCACTAATCTCTGCTACGCGAAAGAATCAGACGATGCCTCGAGTCTCCTCTACAACATCCTCAAGACACATTTCCCGAGTCTCTTAGCCGTCAATCTCCTTCATGCATACATATACATTAAGACGACGTTTCCCTCTCGCTCATGTCTTCGATCTTATGCCTTAGAACTCCTCACATTCCTTCTCATCGATCTCGAAGATGATAACGTCGCGTTGACAAAAGAGGCGTTGAAGGACATGAAAGAGCATCTAAACGCTTGCCTTGTCCAGCAAGAAACGTCGGATCGTGAGTTTAAGCTCCTCTCGGGGATCATATCTCGTGTCTCCGTTGATTTCTTCATCGAATCCACCCCATGGGACGAGCTTTGTTCCTTCATGGTCTCTCTCGACGACAAGAGGATGCTAATGATGTTCGGGGAGTTACCAACGGTTCTTGACGAAGGTTTCTTGAATCCGTTGTTGGAGAATAATCTCGGGTTCAAGATCGTTAACGGCTTGTTTCATCAAGATGATGATGAAGAATGGTGTGTAGCTTTGGAAGCAGGGTTTAATCTGATGCTGCAGCTGATAAACTTGGAGAGGAAAGATTTGGTTTGGGACTCGGTTTACGCGATTGTGAGTTCGGTTTGGGAGATGGTTAACGTGAGGAAGCGAGATATGGTCGTGCGTAAAGGGCTGTTGAGGTTAGTGAGGAAAGTGCGTAATGAAGCTTTGAGGTTTCGTGGGGCTGAGTATAAGTTTGTGTCACGTTTGGCTTTGATGATCAAGAGAGTCAATGGACTTGGAGATGATACGAAGATTGTTGCGAAGATGATTCATGATGTTCTTGATAGGTATTACATGGGAGGTGTTGGGTTGGATGGAGGATTCATTGAGAGCCAGTTTGGTCTTGACTCTTCTGCTTAAACCGATTCTGGGATTTAGGGTTTATGCATTTTTTTTTTTTTTGTAATTGGTTTTAGCTATCTTCTGTTTGATGAATTGAAGAAGAGATTGTAGCCAGTGAGAAACTGTGTGGGATATGAAATATTTTGCTTTTAGTGTTCTTGGTTTTCATATGAATCACAGTTTCAGTTAGTGGATGCTGTTTCAGATACTATCATGTTTCATAAGCTAATATGCAAATTAAAATGTTCAACGTTATTTTAGTTTGCTAAAGTAGATGAAGGGTGAAGAACAAACTAGAGGATTGAATCAATGATTTTTAGTGGCATTCTCTTGATCTTCTGAGTATAATTGTTATGAAGATGTTAAAACTGGGATTAGATTAGCATACGGTTTGTTTGGTGAGTCTTGGCTGTGTGTATTTTCTGAGCTTGTGCTTACTGAGTTTACGGCTATCAGCATTACAATCTTTTACAAGCTCTCATTCAAGAAACATCCATTGGCCCTGCCCTGAAGTTCTCCTGAACAAAGTTAAGGAGTTTTCTTTTGGAAAGTTATGCCCAGAGTACTTTTGATTCTGAGCTTCGTTTACTTCTGCACCTTGGATCCAAAGAAAATTGATGATTTTGATGCTTCCCTGTATGTTCTTAGGACATGGTATCTCAGTTGCTTCATATCTGTCGTTGAACATATGAGTAGACTATCGTATGCAAATAACATAAGATGTACGGCTGCAGGGTCATCATTTTCAAGTCTGATACGTGACATTTCAACCTTTTCCGAGATGTCTAAGCCATCCAATCAGAGAACTCCAGACACATTTGATTCTATTGCTCTGTTTTTTTTTCCAAAACTTATTAATTTCTATTTTTCTAATAACTTAAATTTATTAATTACTAGTGGTTGGCTCGCCCTACGGACGGGTGTATTTACACTAAATTTATTTTATGTTAAAATATATTTTAATATTATGAAATATTTGAAATTTTACTTTATAATAAGATAATAAATATTTTTTTCCAAAGATAATATTGTAAATTTTATTAAATTTTTTTGAAAGAAAGATTTTTAGTGAACACAAAATTATTAAATAAAAAAAATAAGGAAAATGTAATAATTTATATTTCTTCTTTTGGTTTTTATTTTAATTTGATACTAGATTTTGACCCGCGCTTTTAAAGCGCGGGTTTATTATATTTTTTGATAAAATTTATTTGAATTAATAAATTTTATTTTAACACAAAAAATTGTTTTTAACTAATATTAAAATGTTCTATTATCTTGTTTGATTTTCACGTATTGTGTGTTTTCATATCTGATTTAGACCATAGTTGAACCGGTATATTCAACAATTTTTGTATAGTCCAGTAAGATTTAATGAAATTTTATTAATTAAAATTTTGATAAAACTGGTAAATATGCAAAAACCCTCTATTAATCCGAAATATAATATTTGTAGATCTGCTAAAAGTCCCATAAAAACTGATAACATTTTATAAAAAATAGTAAATAACACATACTTTTAAAATTAAAGAAAATTGATTTTTTTGTAATTTCTTAGAATTTAATGAATTTATTTTTATTTGAAAAATGAAACAATGGTAATAGAAGAAAAATATTTATATAACAATATCTGTTTTTCATTATTAATAACCTATGATTACTTTACATTTTTACTTATTAAATATCTAAAAGGTAATTTATTTAAAAAATTGAATTGGTATATCCATATTATGACATAGTAAATAATAATATTTAATTTTTGATCGCTAAATGATATTTTTCATGAAAATAAGATATTAAAATTAAAAGAAAGTATAAATTGCATAAAAATAAATTATTATTAAACACAAAATAAGAAAATTATTAATTACCATAAATATAGGAGAGATTTAGTTATTTAGTTTAAATAAATAATAATTATATTAAAATTAAATGCTAGTGACATATCTTTGTAAATAATTCAAAAACTATGGGCAGAATCCTAGGAGGGATTATGCTTTAATAGTATAGATAGTTGAAGAAAATTCAAAAGTTAAAATAAATTTTTTCTAAGAGTTTCCAAATTTAATATTATTATATTAATAATTTTCTCCTGATAATTAATTAATCATTCTTTAAGCTAAATTAATTGAAATGTAATGTAATGTGATAAAACTGTAAAAATGTATATTTTAAAGTACTATATAAATAGTTTCAGTAATGTCATAGATAATAATTAATATATTTTATTTAACAATAAATTATGGTTTATAATATATGTTTTCAGTTTATATTAGATTCCCAATTTATAATGAAATTTATTCAATTGTTAATATTTTATTAATTGTGTTTTGTGAATTATTGTTGAAATATTTACAAATATGTACACTCATATCTAAAGGTTACACCAATTTTGTTTAGTACATTTTTCAGATCATATGAACTCAAATTGAATTAATATCTGTAAGTAATAAGTTATATTGGAGAAGACATGAAGACGAAGTGTAATCATAACCGATTATAAGTTACTATCCAAACTTAGTTACTATATAATATTCCTAAAGTGAGATTAATGTTGTATATCAACATTAAAACACGCTAATGGACGATGGAGTGATACAACAATTATCAGATTAAAGAACTAAAAGCATAAACGAAACATAACTATAGTGATAACCTCGACCTTGAGATCCCACCTACGCAAAAACATATGAAACCATAAAATCCTAATGGTCATTAAGCGAAGTAAATGTTCACAGACGATTGTACATCGTTTTGGGTCTCACTATTTGACATGTAACTTGAAATGTTGGTGTAAAAGATGATTTTTAAACAGAAGTTTTCATACGTTTAACTAACAATATCTTAAATTATAGCTATTACTCATTTATCTATAAATTTATCGAATTTTGAGTAGTTTTATTTTTTTTAACTAAGTCTAAAGTTAAGAAAATAAAAAATAATATATGTATGGTTTGTTTTATAATTTTTCTTAAAAAATTCTTATAAAAATAAAAAAAAGTTTTAGCAGATTCTCAAAGAAAAAATATATATAATTTTACCGCGAAAAAAAATCGTAATTTCACCGGGCAAGAAATACTTGTTGTTGTTATAAAAAATTTGAAGTTAATATAATATATGAAATATGAAGGAATTACATAAAAAGACGAAAATATCTTATTTTGTTAGTGTAAAGAAAAGATAATTAAATTTGAATATTTTACCATTTTATGGAACTAATATGAATGTGTCACAAAAAAACGTACACCTCTCTCTTGCTAACATGGACGATTCTAGAGAAATGTGGGCCTATAACTAATCTCTAGCCCAACATCTAACATTAAACCAGTATAATAAACTTATTATAAACCAAGACGCAAAGATTTATTTTTTCCGGGTCAATTTCAATGAATAATTGCTGATGTATCTTTTTTAGCCTCATGCTCTTTGCTGATGTGGCAGCACGAGAAGGGAGAAAAATCAGTTTTATTGTATAAGATATAGTAAACTAGTTATACAATTATAGAAAAAAAATACATAGAATAACTAAAATGAGAAAAAAACAAGGGCTTTTTGCAGAATTGACCTGAAACTTGAAGTCAACCACAAAACTAACCTCCCTTTTTTTTGGAACTTTATTTTGCCCAATTCACCCCACAAGTTCATATAATTCACGAAAATGCCATCAAATTTTTTTTTTTTTTTGGTTTCGAAAATAACATATTTACTCTCTCACCCTCATCATCTTCAAGTAATTACAAG